GCTCTAGACAATGATGTCTAATCATTTATGGTACAATGGCTAATTAGAAGCCTAGTCCTTCTGGATGCTTCTGGAGAGAATCCCTTGCTCTTGTATAGCTTGTAGCATCTGCAGGCTTGTGGCAGCTTCCTCTTTCTTCAAAACCAGCAATTTTCTTCAAAACCAGCAATGTTACATCTTCCACTGAGGATGTCCCTCTGCAGACCTGGATAGCTCTCATGACAGCTCCTCCTGTGGTTTTCACACCCTTGACTCCCTCTTTAAAAGACCCTGTGATTTTTATTGGGTTCATCCAGATAATTAAGGCTAATCTTCCAGCATAAACATCCCTCACAATGTCCTATCCACTGAACCTCCCTTGCCTTGTAAAACAACACAGTCACTGGTTCTAAGGACTGCACCTGCCCCATGACAGGTGTTGTTCAACACCACTGCCATCCCATAGGGTAATTTCTTAAGGGAGCATAGCAACCACCATTTATGATGGCATTCCTGGGGGAAATGGGCACCTCAGCTGGGAAACAAAACAGATTCACACCTGCACTGCACCACGGGATAAACAGTCAAAGCTTTACCTAGTAACGGCGATGAGGGTGGCAATAAAGATCCCTAAAAGGGACTAGAGAGATGTCTCAGTGGTTAAGTGCTCAGTGGCAGAGAGCATAAAGGTTCTGTTTCAAGCATCCTTTTCAGTCAGCTCACAACCACCTGTTAACTCCAGTCCTAGGGGATCTGCCGCCCTCTTCTGGCGCCCGTGGGCACTGCATGCACATAGTACATAGACGTGCAAGCACACATGTATACATAAAAAATATTTTTAATTCTCTAAAATAAAGACTACTGAAGGTCTCCTTTATCAAAGGTTTTTCAAGACTTCTAAACTACATAACCACGAGCCTATTGTACACTAAAATAAAGGCAAAGTATTTTGGGATATGCTTATATGTTCATCAAAAAAGTCTACTTACTGGGAACTTTAACTCTGGCCACTGCCCAGAAGATTCCAGAAACATCTATCCAGTACTAAGTGACTATCCAGTCACTAAGCATAAGGTTAACTAGGTAGCTATAGGGCCTGTAAGGAGGGAAGAGGTGCTTGACGCCAAGCCTCAATACTTGAGCCACCAGAAGTCACATGGTGAAAGGAGAGAACCGAGTCACACGAGTTGTTCACCGGCATACACACACAGCCCATGGCATGTGCAAGGCATGTGCACACACACATGCAGTAAATGACTTTTTAAAGAAAGTAAATGGAGAAGTTGACCATTTGAAGACTCATGGGAAAGTGAGCATGAAGTGGAGAGATGAGAGATGGAAAGAAAGTAGATGGAGGAAGGGAAAGATGATGAACGTCTCGCAAACGTGTCCTGGAAACTTTGATTGACAAGGTTTAGGATGGAAAATGTAGCCATTGCTCTATGAAGAGTAAACTCAATAACCTAAGGGAAAGTGGCTGATTCCATATGAGGAGAAGGAAAAGACTTCCTTATAGCTGCACTAAGACACCATTGTCAAGTCAGTTCATGAAAGGGAAGGTTTATTTGGGCTTACAGTTCCAGGGGGATAGGATGTCCATCACCATCATGGCCGGATTTGCAGGCGGGCATGATGACTGAAGCAGCAAGCTGAGATCTCATGTGTTCCGCTACAAGCAGGAAGCAGAAAGAACAAACTCGGGATAGTGTGTGTCCTCTAAAATCCTGAAGTGCACACCCAGTAGCATACTTCTTCCTCCAGCAAGGTCACACCTCCTAAACCTACACAAACAGTGCCATCAACTGGGGACCATGTATCCAAACACCTGGGTCTGTGGGGGACATTGTCATCCGGCATTAAATGGAAGTGAGTCTACCAGGGAGGGGACAGGGTGAGGTTAATATTGGGGACCCCCCTTAGCATGCAGTTGAACATACTGCCACAGTGTTTGCTCAGCACCCAGTAAGGGCACTGCAGAGCCTGCTCTGCATGTCACAGTAAGGATTTATCTGAAGATATCTGCCCAAAGAAAGAGCGTAGAAGGGAAGAAGACTGAAAAAGTCGAGGATGAAGTAGAAAGCAGAGGTTTTCAATGGGACATCTAGAGATTCTCTTCACTTCATATTGTTCATTTATAATATAAATTTATGTACTGTAAATGTAATATAAGTATTCATTTGCAATATAAATTCACTATAATATGAAAAAATCTCAAAAAATGTACAGAATAGGTAAAGAACACGTGGGTATTAAGATTCAGATATTAAGTTATGAAATCATTCCTGAACATAATTATAGGTCTCTGCTTGAATGTCCAGTGCCAGATATATAATAATATTATCTTAGATATTATATATAGTCACGTTTGTATGTATTAACAAATGATGCTCATAGGTCGCTTTGTTTTATTTAGATAATTAGGGAAAGGAGTTTCTATTTTTTTCTAATCTTGCAGCATGGGAGTGTCTTCTATCCTGCTTCTGTTGAGAATATAAATCTGGTAAGAGAAAGACATGACTTATGCCTCCTTTTTTCTTCCTTCTTTATTTTCTCTTCCCTTCCTCTCCCCCTTCTTTCTCCCCCTCTGACTCTGCTTCTCTGTCCTTTTCTCTCCCTGCTTCCTTCCTTTCTTTGAAATGGGGTCTTACCTGCAGACTGACTACACTTGTAGTCTAGGCCAGCCTGGAATTCAGGGCAAATCCTCCTGCCTTCTGGCTCCCAAGTGCTAGGATTTCTTATATGAACCTCTATGCCTAGCTGGTGCCCCTTCCATGCCCTCCTTTCCCATAGTGCACTTCGTGGACACTCAGGAAGTAGTAGATAGCTTAAATCGAATGAGAAAAAAAGTCTATCAATGTAAGAATTGCAGGATTCAGTGGGAGTTGGCATAAAACAATTAGAAATACATTTTCATGTACAGTGAGCTACATTAGAACCCATCTGCTGTGTTTGAGGGATATAGTGGTAATAGACTCTACAAAAGAAAATATGTAACCGATTTCAGACCAATCCAACAGAAGTCCTTAGTAAATTACATACAAAAGCAATATTGTGCCAGCCATAGCAAGACAGGCTTCCTCTGGCAGTCCTGGAACTCACTTTGTAGCAGGATGGCCTCAAACTCATAGAGATCCACCTGCCTCTGCCTCCCAAGTTCCAGGACTGCTGGAACTGTTACACACAGAAACCCTGTCTTATAAAAACCAAATCAAAGCAAACCAGCACAAAATCTCTTAAAAGAAATAAGACCTTGGTATGGGACAAGTCAAGAAAAGAGTATTTTGAGCTTAAAGAAACCATTTCACACTTTGATATTCAAATAGAAAGGACATGCATACATACAGCCTGCTTAGAACAACTATTGCTAGAAAATACAGACTGAAGGCACTGTGTGTGTGCGTGTGTGTGCATGTGCGTGTGTGTTTGTGTGTGTGTGTGTGTGTGTGTGTCCATTTCCAGGGAGAATTAACTGAGGAGGTAGACCCACCCTGAATAAGGGTTATTCCATCCCACGAGCTGGGGCCCAAGCAGATAAAATGGGGAAGAGAAGGGAGTCAGATTCTTGCCAGCATTACTGTTCTTTGTTTCCTAATCCGCAGAGAGGTGATGCCTCATTGCCAGCTCAGGCCATCTCAGACCAAGCTACTCAGATTGCCCTGCCTTCCCCAACATGGTGGACAGGACTCCTTTAAAGCATGGGCCAAAATAAATCTTTTTTCCTTATGTGGCTTCAGTCAGATTTTGTCATAGCAACAAGAAAAGTAACTAATTTGCATTCAAACCACAGTTTTGACTTTATAGAGATTTGTGTTCCAAAAGTTATATTTGTCTATCGGGGAATTTTTTCTTCATAAACAATATCTGTAAAAATGATTATCTACAAATAATTTTTGAGTTCCTGAGAAAAATAATGTAGGAAAAATTGACAATGCCATTATATATTACCCTATTTTATAACCCTGTTTATTTACCCGAAGAAATACTATAATAATTAAAAAAAAAAAAGGTTCATGTTTGGGTATTAGAGATCTTTTTAACGCTCTTTATTTGAAATTAAATTTTCAGATTAGCATGCAAAGTAATGGATTTCCCCGTGGCATCTTAATGCCAGTATGTCATTCCACTGTCATTTCCTTTGTTCCCATCCTCCACATCCCTGCCTCCTTCCAGCTGCCTCCCACCCCCCCACATCCCTGCCTCCTTCCAGCTGCCTCCCTTTCTTGCTTGCCCCTTTCAGACCCTGCTTCTGCTTTCCATTGCTTTTTCATTTCCATTTCTTTCTCCTGTCTCATTGTCCCCCTTTGACTTTTGTGACCTATAAATATACACATGTAGACACATGTCTAGGTGTGCATACGTATATACACACAAACTACATATGTAATTTCACATCTAGATTCTGTCTTTGAGAAACCATGCAGTATTTGTCTGAGTCTGGCTTATTTTGCTTAATGTAATGACTTCTAGATACATAATTCTTCCTGCAAACATAGAGATCATTTTGAAATAGTCAAATGCTAGAAGCTTAGACATTCGGTAAGATATAGTTTTCTCCTGTGGTTGGAATGAAAAATGGGAGGAAAAAATGAGGGAAAAATTCACAAAAAGAAAAAAAGAAAAAAAGCTATAGTTTTCTCCTGGTTTAAGAGTTAAGTGGTTTGACTCAGCATAAACATTGACTCAGCTACTAATAAAAAGAAAAGGGTCCCTGCATAAATCCTGTCTATCCTTTTAAGATCTGAGGAACGCAGTAAATTTATTCCCTGGGACAAGGGTCAACACTGTGACAGAGGCTGTAATTCACTGGATGTGCTGTGTGTGCTGACTGTGCCAAGCGATAAGAGCGAGCGTCAGTATTTGATCATGAGAGTCACTGTCCCCTCCCATTCTGTTGTGTTTATATGCATCAGTGTGCTGGCGTCCCTGACCAGCAGAATCGATGCTGTGAGTGGGGCCAGCCCACCCCTCATTTCCATAAGCATTGTGCTCACATGTTTGCATGCTGTACTCTTTTATTTCAGTAACATTTAAAAGCCATGGCCTCCGAGGAAATTAAACTAACAAAGAATGTCCACAGCGAGGCTCTGAGCGCTCAAGTCTCAGGTACAGTACAAAGTGGCTGCTATGAGTTGACAATTAAAGAGACAGTAGCTATCTTCCTTCTGCTGTTCTTTGTGTACAAAAATGCCTGGATTTGCTTCTGAATCGCCTGCATAAGAACTTCTCTGGTCTTTCGGCAGAGCACCCACACATAAACAGCTCAGTAGATGCCAGGCACCGTCTGCACTGAACTCCTGGCAGAGAGAGCCCTTTGGTCTCCGCTTGGCACTTAGTGCCTCTCCTTGCATTTAAACCTGTCTTGCTGGATTGTCTCATTTCCCATCTCACAGGTACAAGAGGCAGTGAAATTAGAAAGTCGAAGCAATTCCGAGGGTCGGACTCACAAGCCTAATAAGAAATGATAGCTGAAATAGGAAGGACAGAAAACGTGTTTTTCAGTGTATAGCACAAGGGTCACCAGGACCACTGTGTGTTTATTTCAGTTTCTCTTGGAGACATCTCTTTCCTGTATCTAAGTTCAGTAGGATTAGCTAGCTCTGAGTCATGAAGCTTAAGGTATAATCTAATATGGAGAAATCTCCACTCCAAATGCCACGCTTTGGTTTTGTCTTTGTTTTTAAGACAGGGTGGTACTGTGTCACCCAGACTACAACTTGTTGCCTGCCTGCTTCAGTCTCCCAAGTGGCAGGAACATGAGCATGGGCTACCATGCCAAGCAAATGTTTTGATGGAGATAAGCCTAACATCTAGTTAGCCTCTTTCTTGCATCAATACCAGATAAGCTGAAATCACCCCAGTAGCTTGCAATGAGCAGACCCTGTGTCTGTTTTTATTTGTAGTGCTCAGAGCAGTTTGACTTTAAACTGATTTCAATTCTTCTTTTTCCCTGTGATAATCCTCGCCAGGGCTGACTTGGCCTTTCTTGGGATTGAAAGGAGGTGAGGGTAACAGTGTTCTTGTTGCTTGATTCCCCCTGGGTGGTACAGCATGGTCTCGCTTTAACTTTCTACAGCTCAGTTTGTCTTTTTTAAAAGTAAGAAATGGCTTACTTAGGCACCACACACACACTTCCCTTCAGGGAGACAGAAGTCAGAATTGGGATAAGGACAGCCAGGGAAGACAGTCTGCATTATGCTAAGACTGAACGTTTCTTCCTACCCTCTCTTCCCCCAGCTGAGGAGGCATACCATCTCTAGGGGTGATTTCAGTGTGTTTGGAAAAGTCATGCCTCACCATAATTTCTGTGGCTTAGGTGATGCAATTTACCCCATCCCTTTGAGAGGTTACAAAGCTTGTTAGCGTACCTCATTTCCTCCATGTGTAGGATGATTTTTTTAATGGATTTTGTTTTTCTTGATTATGTGACTCTCCTACACGTTTCTTATCATTTCTCATTAGAAATTACAAGATCTACCATGCTGTGGGATTTGTCTCCACAACACTATAATTGCATCTTATCTGGAGGTATAAAAGAGTTTGCTTTCTCCAGCAGCTCTCATGTAAATCCCTAAGAATCTGGATTTTAGGTAGGGGTTAAACTATCTGTACAGAAGCCATGTGTGGTGCTACACAGTTAAAATCACAGCAGAGGCTGGAGAATCCCTTGAGCCTGGAGGCCAGCCTAGGAAAGAGAGTGGGTGAGGCCTCCTCTAAAATAAAAAGTAATGTGTTGCTTAGAGCAACACACTTATGCTGTGGTTTCTTTTAGACACAAGAAACTGTGCAGCCAACACCCATGAACTTCAGAAACAAAGAAGAGAGGGCTTTGTTTGTGGCTTAGCATCACACAGAATACTTACATAGCCGAGGAGAACTTTGAACTGAAGCCACCTGGGAGAGCTGAGTTTACAGGCGTGTGCCCCCACACCCGATTTTATGTGGTGCTGAGCATCAGACCCAGGACTTTGTGCAGCTCAGCCTGGCAAGCACTCCACCAACCCAACTGCACTCCCAGCTCCTCAAACAGGGAATTCCAATGGGAGAGTCAGCCCAAGAGCCATCATCCATATTATGCTATCAATAAATGGAAGTCATTTATTCTCTGTGGCTCTTTAAGTAACCCACAGCTTACTTTGTTTTTACATAAAAATGATACAATGAAACCTTCATTAATTGTCAACTGAGAACCTAGCATCTGGGGCAAAGTAGAATGGGATGGGTGTCTGTCTTATTATTCTCTGCCCCACATTATAGTCACTTCTGATGGGCACACTGGGAGCTTGGCCTTATCTACACAAGGATATGTAAGTTGCCCCAGTATGAAAGTCACCCAGCCATTTTCAAGTGTCCTGACACCTCACTTCAATGCCAGTATTTAGGAGCTGCGTTAACTGTGTTCATGGACCATTACTGCCCAAAAGAAGGGGTGGGAATAGTGTTGCCATGTCACAGCTTTTGTGCAGTTTACTAACTTTTTTGTGCAGTTTCTTACATAAGATCAGTGAGACATTAATGGTGAGTGCAACATTTTTGAGTAGATTTTATCTTTTAAAATGGCTTTAATCCTCAAAATACTAACCAGAAAGGGTAAAAGTCTCTACACATAGCATATGTATCCAAAGTAGTGGTCTAATTATTACATTTTACTTTAAAAAGTATTCATGAGTCAAGCAGATTAAAAATGCACAATTGTAACCCAAGCTATTTGGGAAGCTCAGGCATGAGGAACACTTGAGCCTGGGAGTTTGGGGTCCTCCTGGGCAATATAATGAGACCTCTTAAAGCAAAATGAAATGGTGGAAAGAGTTTTTTTTAATTAAAGAAGGGAAGAAAGGGGGAAAAGATAGCTTTGTTGAGACATAACACACATGTGTACCATAAAATTAGCTTTTAAAACTGTATACTTGAGTTTACTCAAAGTTGAACTGCCGTTTAAATTTTTATTTTTTGTTTCTAAATAATGAAATTAAAATAGCTTTAGTTTGAAGGAAAAGGTCCACAATGCACCATTCAAACTAAACTCTTGCTGGTTTTAATGCATTTCATTTTAGCTCTTAAAAAAAAAAAAATCCAGGTATTTTTGTGTGAACTAATGAATGTCTTGTGTGCATTTATCCTTCTCATTTCTCGCAAGTGCAGATGGCTCTGTCTCTTTAAGGCTGCTCACAGTGTGCTGAGGTGTGCTGTGGTTCTTGCTGCTGTGTGAACACATGAAATTATTGAAGTAAAGAAAATAACTTCATGGCTGCTGTTTCCCAGTGAGCCATCTCTTTGCCGTAGAACTTCCCAGGGTCCTCAGAATCTTGAATCTGGTGAACGACATGGCTGGTAGATGCCTGTATGCAATGGGGTGAATACAGAGCAAGAACTAACAAAATTGCTATGACCTGAAATGGTGCCAGGCCCTCAGGGGCTACATTGTAATTTCACTTGAACATACAGAGACATGGAGTAGTGAGTGTGTAACAGTGGACAGCCAGACAGAGGGAGTTGATGGGTAAACAGTGAATATGGACACCTTACAGAACAACCAGATATGTACACGAGAGAGAAAGGGGGCAGTCTCTGGAGATACCAATGAAAACATTTTTCCCCCCAAGAGTTTCATAAGGAACAGTTTTAAAATTGACAGTGATTAAATGTCATTAAGAATTTGGAAAAGTGGAAACCCACACATTATAATTGATGAACCTTTCAAGAGGCTAACTGGGTAGTATTTAACACTTCTATCCTCTTTGATAAATACATTAAGAAATTTATAAAAGTAGTAACTTGTAAAAAAAATATGTGTGCATCTGAACACTGGCATGCATACCTGAAGTTCTAGTTGTGTGGAGGCCATGGTTGACACCAATCAGCTCCCAAATAAAGACACAGAGATTTATTATTAATCATAAATGCTTGGCCTTAGTTTAGGATTGTCCCGCTAGCTCTTTTAACTTAATTTAACTGGTTTCTATTCATGTAAGGATAGTCACTGATTCCATATTGGCAATAGCAAGAAACTGAGAATTTTTTCCAGTGATGGGAAGGTTGGCTAATTACGTTATAATGTAGACAGACAGAAGGATGTGTATGTGTGCTGCCCAGAGCCGTAGTGTATTATATGGTAATTATTATACAAAAACAAAGAGACAGCAATTCACATCCTATTTATAGAAAGAATACTTACAGTTTTGGGGGGTATATGATCTGGTATTGGAGGATATTTTACTTCTTGGTAAGTTTTTTAATTGAATTGTGATTTTTCTTGCTTGTTTTCTTTAAGCTACAACTTTTAAAATCAAGTGACATAACTCAAGGCCTTCAAAGAGAAAGGTTACAACAATTTGAGCAAGCTGTCAAAATGATTACAAATAGAAATCCTTAAGGAACCTGTGTAATGATTAAGTAAAAATGATTTCTGTTTAATTTATCAGTTTGTCTATTTAATAAGCCATTTATGTGGGAAGGAATAGTTCCAAAATATATTCAAAAATTAATGTGAAATATTTTGACATAATTTTTATTTTTCTAATTATAAAAGTAATGAGGTACCATTATAAACCTTTCCCCCCCCCCTTTGAGACCCTGTGTAGCCTGGCCTCAGATTCACCCTGCTTGAGCCTCCTCAGTATTGGGGTGGTGGGCATGCACCATCGTACCACCACACTTTTATTTATTTTTTTTGGTTTTGGTTATTTCAGACAGGGTTTCTCTGTGGCTTTGGAGCCTGTCATGAAACTAGCTCTGTAGGCCAAGCTGGTCTCAGACTCACAGAGATCCTCCTGCTTCTGCCTCCGGAGTGCTGTGATTAAAGGTGTGTGCCACCAACGACCAGCTAACCACACCTGTTCTTATAAAAAACATTTGAAAATAAATATGAACACAAGCATGATAGTGAAAATTATCTATAACTCAGTCACATAGAGGGTTCAGTCATGAACCTTGAAGTTTCACTTAGGATATTGATTTGAAATGTTGATCTCATCTTCAAGAAGAGTATGCTCCACCCTCCTCGCTTATCTAATTTCTGATTAGTTGTGCGATAGGGTAAAGAGTCTCCTGAGTGTTTCTGTGCAAAATTAGCTTTGCTGCTACTTTATATTATAATTATAACTTAT